CAGTCAAACTCAACAGAAATTCTCATGGCAGGTTTTTTCAATTCAGGAAATGAACAAAATGGGATTCTCAGAGGGAATGGGTCCAATTTTGGTATAACAGCCATGCAGATGACTCATTGGCACAGGGAGGGGCTGCTCTATAAAGCTGTAATTTTTTTAGTCCAATTAACATGGTTTGAATCCTCTCTGGTTTAAATCTTTTAAACTCTCAAACCCTGGTTTAAAGTGTTAAGGTTTAAATGCTTTAAACCTCTGGTTTAAATCTTTTAAACTCTTTAACCCTGGTTTAAACTTAAAGTGTTAAGGTTTAAATGCTTTAAACCTCTGGTTTAAATGCTTTAAACCTCTGGTTTAAATGCTTTAAACCTCTGGTTTAAATGCTTTAAACCTCTGGTTTAAATGCTTTAAACCTCTGGTTTAAATGCTTTAAACCTCTGGTTTAAATGCTTTAAACCTCTGGTTTAAATGCTTTAAACCTCTGGTTTAAATGCTTTAAACCTCTGGTTTAAATGCTTTAAACCTCTGGTTTAAATGCTTTAAACCTCTGGTTTAAATGCTTTAAACCTCTGGTTTAAATGCTTTAAACCTCTGGTTTAAATGCTTTAAACCTCTGGTTTAAATGCTTTAAACCTCTGGTTTAAATGCTTTAAACCTCTGGTTTAAATGCTTTAAACCTCTGGTTTAAATGCTTTAAACCTCTGGTTTAAATGCTTTAAACCTCTGGTTTAAATGCTTTAAACCTCTGGTTTAAATGCTTTAAACCTCTGGTTTAAATGCTTTAAACCTCTGGTTTAAATCCTTTAAACCTCTGGTTTAAATGCTTTAAACCTCTGGTTTAAATGCTTTAAACCTCTGGTTTAAATGCTTTAAACCTCTGGTTTAAATGCTTTAAACCTCTGGTTTAAATGCTTTAAACCTCTGGTTTAAATGCTTTAAACCTCTGGTTTAAATGCTTTAAACCTCTGGTTTAAATCCTTTAAACCTCTGGTTTAAATCCTTTAAACCTCTGGTTTAAATCCTT